GTTTCTGTATATTTATAAATTTCTGTTATATTCTAATAAAAACTTGATATTTTACTCTTATCAGTAATTTATGAAATATGAATGTTTTGCATAAATTGATACAACTTGATTGTGTGTTAAAATAAAGAGATTTGCATAATATTTAAAATAACTTTAGAGCGAACATTTATTAATTGATAAATCTTAAGATCTTATATTGCTATGATGAAGTTTCGCTGCCTCCGCAACCACAAGAGCAACACTCGCAAAATTCCTCATCGCTGTTACTGTCATCTACTTCCGATCCAGAACGTAGCATTCTTGATGTTGCCAATCGATAAGACTTGTCTAACGATTTTATACTACAATCACATGGTGCAGTCGAAAATTTGCGTGCGCACTTTCCTTCACAATCGCATTTGCAGCTAATAATTTGTTTACAAGCAGCAGGAGTTTGCATGCATTCGTTGCATGTTTTACCAGGGTTACATGGTACAGAAGATAGTGTTAATTGTTTGAGTGATTGCGGTACATCTGAAAATTTATGTGTATATTTTTACTTTTTTATTTATGTGTTGATTTATTTTATATGTGCACATCAATTATACGAAAAGATATATACAGGGTGTCCCGTAATATATGAATCAAAATATTACGGTAATCCGAATTAAAATATCCAAGCAATAGTTTTTGAAATATGTGGATTTAAAACTGGCCAATCAAAAACTGTATAATTTAACGTTTGCTTCCTAAGTTGTGCATATGACAGCATTAGTGATTCACGGATAAGCGACCGCTTGGATTGAAAAATCATAAAGAACTTTTTTATTTAGTTTTTTGAGAACTTTTATGCTGTAATATTTTGATTCGTGAATTACGGGACGCTCTATACATAAAAGTTATATAATATAAAAATCGGTATAATTGTAAATTATATTTATATATATACTTTTTTCTATAACTTTTGGGACATATATGTAATATAATAAATTGATATACAAAACCGTGAATACGTACCTGTTTTCGAGGTGATAGCAAATAAAGATTCGCAAGGAGATTTCGGCGAGTGAGACTTGGATTTTACTATAGCAGTGGATATCTGTTTGCAAGATTTGTAACATGCTTTGCAATCGCGCGATTGACTCGTGGTTGCACATGGTGCGCGACTATCCAGTGGAACACAGCACGAAAGTGATGAACAGAATTCTTCACACGCTTCAAATTTCTTTGATGTTTCCTCGTAACCGGTTAATGTTACGGACGTTGCACACGTGCAACAAGCCTAAATTAAAATAAACACGGAAGAAAATGAATGTTATCTATATATTCTTAGTACTTACTCGTCCTTTATCCTTAAGAGCATATTTTTTTCTTGTTACGTTGTATTTGCGATCTTCCAGCGAATATTGCTCTCTTCTAGTTCCTTTCGATTCTCGCACGTTTTTCGTCATGGATTCTTTAAGTTTTTTGCTATCTCGTTGGAATTTCTTGCAGGATAGTAACTTGTCCATATGTCGTCTATAAGTGATTTCTTTGCTTTCTAATTCTTTAATGCAGTTCTTCAGCTTCAATTCTTCTTCGGCAAGCTGACGAATTTTCTTCAGGCATATTAGATCTTCGGAATGGATGGAATGTAGACTGGGTGTACTGTGTCTTCGCACTTCATTTTGCAATCCCATCAGTTTCTCTTCCATTTCCCTGTTAGCCAGTTCCAAGGATTCCAGCTTCATTCCAGCTTCCTCTAATTGTACATCCGTGTCTATAATCTTATCCTGCAACAACAAAGAATTCATCACAAACTCTAAGAATAAATTTCAATAGCACAAGTTATCATTTACGCGACCCTTTTATTTTTAATCTGCAAGAATCTTTATGTAACGATAATGCGTTAAAACCGCGGATAGCGTTATCGCGCTATAAAAAGCACACTGGCAAAATTTACCCAGATTCTTATCGTTGAATGTCAATCGTGTGCCGTACATGCAACTGTGCAGTTTCCTGGTGAAGATCATCGACTGTGTTTCTCAATTCGGCAAGGAGTCTGTCAGCGGGATCCGGCTGCGGTGAAAACTTGTTCATGATCTCTCGCACTTTGTGATACGGTGTGTCACGGCAATCTTGTTCGGCCATCCACATGTTGTACGCTAATAAAGCTGGGATGGAGCGTTCCATCGTGGTGACTTTGTTCCTGAGATCTCTACGGCGGCCGAGTAGATTGCATCGACGTTCCTCGATTTCCGACGCGACGTTCGCCAAAGGCGAGTCGATAGCTGTAAACGTATAACAAAAATTATATTAGTCAGTTTTTTATTCTAATTTTAATTGAAATTAATTCCAACAATTTTCAAAATTAAGTGCTATTTTTTTTAACTTGTACAATCATATAATAAACAGTGAATCGGCAATTAATTAACCTACTCACTGGTTCTGATTGACATTTCAATGAATCTGATTATGCCCGAAATACAATGATAAGATTGCTCGCACGGATATTAGATCCGTGGGTTGTATTTACTTGTAACTTTCGAATTTGAACACAAAAGAGCAGATATAGTAATTTGCTTCTGCCGAAGATCGGCGTTGACAGCGTTGATAAATCAAAGAATCTACAGTTTCTAGGGTTTTTAATATTTTAATTATTATAAGCTGTCGTAATAAATATGGATCAACCTTTATGCATTGAGATCGAGTATACAAAACAAAAGAAATTTGATACATTTGTATATTCTAAGCAAATTCTTCTTTTAGCGCTTTTATTTATCAACTAGTGCACATAAATAAGTATTACGATGCTTCGAGACGATGTATAGAGTAACATATTTTTTCAAATTGTCGCAAACGTCAAAATAAAGGTTATCAGAATTATTTAAAATCTGGAGTGCCAAACGAGACAAGATGTTTCTACTAGGATTAACGAAGAGTAAGAAGTTATAGAATGCGTTACAATTTTTAACATTATGATTAACAAACATTATTAACAAACAATCATGCGATTGACTCACGTAACATATTATCGAACGCATATTTATCGTTACAGGTAATATCTTACTATTTGATATATTTATTACCTATTTGTCTTATAAAAAAATTAATGCTTCAACTTTTTAATATTTTAATATTATGCTTAATGTTTAAATTTGTTAATTAAGTCTTATTTAGAACAATTGTATAAAATAGCATTTTAAAGATCAACACAAAATATTATCGGATTATTTGAAATTTAAAGAATGTCCCAATATTTATGAGATGTGCTAAGGTTGATCTATATTTAATGAATTGCACCTGTTAAGTAGTTAAAATATTTACAGCAAATTAGACGAGCCGATAACGCGCCGGGATGGGGACGACGACGATTTTTCATTAGTAACCGTAACGAGCACTTCTTTCCAAGAGAGTTTCGGCAGCACCTTTACTGGATCTGTTTACACTGCGAATTGGGAGGAAAAATTCGCATGTCGCGCATTACAGAGGCGGGGTCGAGTATTCAGCTATCGAAAGAGAAAAACTTACGTCGGTGATGGAATTTTTAGCGCACCGGCCGGTGTCTGTCCACACCGCGTTACTTCATCCATTATTCGCCGTGATACAGGTGTGGACACATTCAAAAAACTTATTTTATGTATCAAACGCAAGCGGGCATTGCTTCCCTCTACAGTTTGATGCACTTTTCAAGATAAATTCTTTTCTTAAAAACTGATATAAAATGAACATTTCTCTCCATTAACAGCAATCAATGTCAATATTTTGTGAGAACCCTTCTACGCTCATAATATAATACTTATATAGATAAGATAATTGCAGAAAAACATCCGGTATCGGCCACAATGCAACTTGTAATATAATCGAGGGAAAATAAAATAAATAACATAAAACATAAATGAGCTTTCTATAGGCGATTCCCGACTCGTGTTCGTTTGGCCGCAGAAGGTCAGCAAAAGCCGACTCTCGAATGTCTTCACGCCCTTATTGCGCAGTGTTCTGGTTGGATTGTTGCTCGTAGACGCTCTTCACTTGTGGCCTGGAGAATTTCTACCCACATCTCTTCCGTCTACCATGCCAATTACCTTGCCGCCTGTCAAATGCAATATCATTGAGCCACGCTGGTTCGACAATAACTGAGCCTTAATTAGCCCCTTCATCTTGTTTATATCTGTAATAACAGTTGCACGTTAATAAAATATTGTACAATTTTTTTTTTCTACAAAGATCTTATAAATTATTTTGTTCAAAAACTCATTTAAATTATTACAATGCGTTTATGGCGAAAAGGTGCAAATTTGCATATAAGTAAAGTGGCGATCAGAATGAGTTAAAAAGGTCTTATATGTATAATCAGTGCAGTTATTTGTTTTCGAATATATTTGAATATTCTTAAATATGCCAGATTTATACTTGGATCAAATACACATATATAGATATTAATGAATGCCATATTGGCGGAGTATCAAAGACGTTGTGCACCTTATTATGATTGAGATCTAAATATCATGAGATCTAAATATCAGTTTAATAAATATATAAACGTTATGTACACAATGATATTGCACAATTTGCCAATGATTCATTCTCACTTATAACTGAACGTGATTTTAAAATTCATTGTGAAATATATTTACATTTATTTTTCCACTTATAAAGCTTTTCCTATTGTGAATTTGCTAATTCACTCCTCACTTTGCATCTTGCTTGCTTGCTGACAATAAACAGTGAAAAAAAAAAACATTTTTTTCGCATGTTATTTAGTATCGGAACAATCACGTGCATTCAATTAATCGCATAACGTCCTATACAATGTCTGATTTTTCATTAAGAATTTTTAATTACCTATATTTATTTGAATAAAACAGTATTTACGTATTTGCTATAATAAAACGTTATAAAAAGCAACTTATTTTGACGGTTTCTCTGAAAAATAGAATGGCAAATGGACATCTGTATGTTTGCATCATTACTGGATTAATTACATAATCATTTTCCGCAGCGTGTGAAATTTGAAGTAAGGATTACAAGGATAAAGGATTTATGATGTATTATATTGTAACCGGCTTAACGGGAAATAATTGCGATTATCAGCGGAATGAAGGTGATCGCAAAAATACATTACGCGATTATATTATATTCTATGTGAGACGTGGCAAATAGAAATTACATCTCACAAGTGAAATAAAGAGAAAATACTTTTATCTTGTTTTAAATATATAGTGTGTTTAAACGTACGTTATCGGCACTAAATGCAAAGTAGTAGTTTTTATCGCATTTGGAGTCAATATAAAAGGTTGGTCAACATAAATACCAGGGTTTTGTTGGTGAATAACGATGAAATTGATCCGCTTATTCATTATATAAGTACTTTTAATTACAGGATTACGTAACGCAAAGAGAGGAGAGACTTGTGCGGTAAAGTGTAGACATTATAGTTTTATTCTGCAATAGAATCTTGGATCGAGGAAAAAGGAAGCAGGTTCGTAAAGCATTGCGTTTTAAAGTTTGATTAAAGTGCATTTCATTATCTGTTTATTTCAACTATTATTGTGATGTGTGTGATAGTTTTGCTTAATTGTATTACTATGGTATATGAAATGTCATATTTATCATAATATGTGCTATGTCATATATATCATGATATGTGCTATGTCATATTTATCATGATATGTGATATGTCGTACTTTTTTTTGAATTGTATCAAAGTGCACGTTCAAGATAAAATGCTTCACTGATAAACCGAATATTTATATGTATTGTAACGTATCTGTCAAACAGTTGCCAGTTGAAATCTTACAAATGTTGTGAGTACTCAAACAGCAAGGTGAATCAAGATTTCGTGTGCAAGCAGAGATTCGTGTGTACAAAGTGTAATAAATTTATATGTAATTATTTAAAATTATTTAAAATCGTTAAAATTAAATCTGAATCGCATTAAATAAAGTTTGATGATTTTCGATATTTTACGTAAAAAAAGCAATGTTTATCTGACTCAAAATTTTATTTCCTGCAATATAAATTTATTTTTTACTAATTTTGGATTTTATATCGCACATTTTAATTATTACTAATTAAGACTTCGCTGATATAATTTTCACTGATAGCATTTTCTCAAGTGATGATTCGTACAATCATATTTGTTTCTATTTCATATTTCTGCAACAAATGAGTGTTATAAATCAGTGTGTTATCATCGATGTTTTTGATAAAAATGTTATCTATTTCAATAAACATAATAATATAGATATTTAGTAATTTGAACTAATTTAATGTGTTAACAGGTTACAAGAATGGATTTTATTTTTTTAATACTATGTACTCTGGGCGTTGTTGGAATATCCGCGATTATATCAATAGTATATCGTTACTATGTTATTCGACGAAAACTTAGAAACATTCCTGCAGTGGACTCACTTCCTTTCGTTGGAGAGTCGCTTGTATTAATGAGACTGACGGAATATGGTAAAAAATTTTTATAAAATACTACCTACTATTTTACTCATTCTACGCACTACTATATTTCTATTTTTTTATCAGTGTTATTTGTCGCATAAAATTTAAGACACAAACATTGGCTATTTATCTTAGATTAATATTGGTAACAAGTCATTTTGGATTTTTCAAATAACTGTTTATTTTTTTATCGGACAAAATGCAGTTTGATTGACATGTAAATTATTTTAATTATTCGTTTATCAAATCGAGTTTCGCCTGTTTCACGATTTTTTAAACGTGCTGCGTAAAAAACAATATTATCTATTCGAAAGTCCGAAATTATTTATTACGCAATATAATTTGTAATATTTGTAAATGTAATTGTTTCTTTCTAGAACGCACAAAGTGGTTTTGCTCATTCTTAGATAAGTTTAAAGATGGGATATTTATAAATTGGATTGGAACTCAGCCGTTTATCAATGTGTATAAGCCCGAATATTTAGAGGTAAGAAATAAAAAATATGTTGCTAATATAAACGACAAATGTATGTAAAAATGGTAATAATTATAATGCTTAAATATATTTTAGACTACTTAGAATAATTATTAATGAAACTTTATTTCCGTGTTATATTTATTTATGCGTTTTATATAATTCACATTTGATAATCTAATTATAATTATTCGCTTTTCGTATTAAAGTCATGTTTAAAATATTATAACATTCAAACATTAATATATATAATATTTTAAACTTAACTTTTATACAAAAAGAAAATAATGTTTATTAAAGTATAGACACATACGTACATGTACATGTGTATATTTTAAAATATTTACAGATTATTTTCCCCAGTACTACAAATATCACTAAAGGAACAACATATGATTTGCTGAGACCTTGGTTGGGCAACGGACTTCTCACCTCTACAGGTAAGTGTGTAAAGAAATTTTCACACGGTTACTTTTAATGTTTTACTAAAAGTAAAATTGGAATGTATTTAATTAGGTATTTTGCGTGAGATATAGTCATTTCTGAATACTTATTTGCATAATGATCATGCTATGTTCTAAAATATTTATAAAATTTGGTAAAATTTTTTATGTTTCTATTTACCATGCTAATACTTAACAAATTGATATTAATTTCCTGATACACAAAAAAAAATTTTCTGCTGCTTTAAAAAAGGCGAAACAAAATCGAAGATAAGACGCTGATGCTATTTTTATCCTTTAACTTGCTTTATAATTATATTCTTTTAACTTTTGCAATATTTGTACAATGTAAATTTATTTGTATTAATGCTGCTTCAGGAACACAATGGTTCCACGATAGAAAACTAATTGGGCCAACATTCCACTTTAGCATATTGGACCAATTTGCCGTGATCCTATCCGAAAAAGCAGAGATCATGACAAAGTGCCTCGAGAAAGAAATGGAAAAAAATCCAGGGAAAGCTATTAATATATTTCCCTTTGCTATCAATGTTGCTCTCGATGTTATTTGCGGTAATATATATTCGTATTTTTATCTGTAATATAAAATATTTGGCAAAATATGTAATAACTAATTTAACTGAATTATTTGCGAGTTATAAGTGTTAATTTTTAATAATTGTAGTATTATAAAATGATACAAGTTACTAACAATGTTAATCATTATTTAATAGAAACAGCAATGGGCGTGAATATACATGCTCAAGAAGTTGTGACTCCATATACTTCAATAGTACATAGGTTAGTTTAAAAAAACTTTTTAATAATTTATAATTTTTTAAAACTTTCCGTTAAAAATTAACGTTGAATTTTATTTAAGTATTCTGGCACAGAGATGCAATTACATCAATTGACATTAATTATATTTTTAGGACCTCTATACTAACACTCGACCGTCTATTTCGACCATGGTATTGGATAGATTGGTTCTTTCATTCAATGCCTGCAGGAAAAGAATATAAATCAGTACTTAACATATTGCATGGTTTTACGAAAGAGGTATGCCAGAAACGCCTATAATTATACATATACATATAAGTATACATTATAAGACATCATCAGAGCTAAATTACATATATATGCTGTTTTGTTCGAAGCAATTTCGAGTTAACAAAGAATTATATGGCAAATTATAGGTGATAAAAAAAAAGAAAATTACACGTCAATCGCAAAAGGAGTATGCAAAACCAGAAACCGAAGACAATGAGTTTGACATAGGTGTGTTATAATTTAAATTAATTATAATTTGTGTGTTATTACCGCCACATGTATTTCGTTAACCGTGAATATCTTTCATGCGTGTAAAATTTGTTACATTGTTTGTTAGGTAAACGTAAGAGAAAAGCCTTTCTAGATCTATTATTAGATCAAAACGAAAAAGATGATTTCCCGTTAACCGATGACGAATTAAGGGCACAGGTCGACACATTCATGTTCGAGGTGAGTTTAAAATTTAATGTAAAATTTTTTCTTATCAATAATAATTTAAGTAGTAAACCATAGGTATGTGTTACCATAAAATAATAAGAAAATAATAATAAAGGGTCACGACACAACTGCGGTTGCGATAACCTGGGTGCTCTTTTGTTTGGGTAATAATCTCGAGCATCAAGAAAAAGTTCACGAAGAACTCGATGAAGTTTTTAAAGATTCAGAGATACCAGCCACAGTGAAAGAGCTGTCACAATTAAAATATCTCGATAGAGTTATAAAGGAAACACTCAGAATTTTTCCAAGTGTACCCGTTATTACAAGAAAATTAGCAGAAGATGTAAAAATAGGTAAGACATTTTTCTCATAATTAAGAAAAAAAATCTTAAAAAATTCAGCGATAAAAAAATTCAATTGCAGTTAAATATAGCGCTTGGAATAAAAAAATATCTTTAGAGATATTTTATCTTGTTTATCAAAAGCCAAATACAATCTTGATTTAAAGATTGATAATTTTATATTTAATATTATAGATAATTATAGATAATTTATTATAGAAATTTAAATTATCAGAAAAAGTGGAAAAGTAAAGAAAAATTTTTAAAATCCGTTAAAAATGTTTTTTACTTTTTGACTTTTTCTCTTGATTTAAAAGTTTTATTTTTAAATTATAAAAACACTTACATTGGTAAAATTTGTCAAATCTTCTAAAAAAATTCATATTAATTACCTTATTTTAGGTGATCATACACTTCCAAAAGATATTGATGTCACCTTGGCAATTATATTAGCGCACCGGAATCCGGAAGTTTGGCCAGACCCATTAAAGTTTGATCCGAATCGATTCCTTCCAGAAAATTCAAAAAATAGGAATCCATATGCTTATGTACCGTTTAGCGCTGGCCCGAGAAACTGTATCGGTCAGAGATTTGCTCTACTAGAAGAGAAAACTGTGTTAACAGCTATTCTTAGAAAATGGAGAGTCAAAAGTGTAAAAACGTTTGAGACAATTCACTATGGCGGCTCACTTATTTTACGACCGATCGAAGAAGTACTTATACATTTTACATCAAAGACATAATTAATTCATTAGCATATTTTTTTATAATAGTCTTTATAACTTCTCTCAGACAGCACAGCATGTCCAGAGGATATCCTGAAGACAGTTTTGGGACAACGTCCTCTGGATGTATCTCCTTTGGATGTATTTTGGACATGTGTGCTGTTACTTACAAAATTTGTATGTTGTTTCCTGTAGTTATATATATCTAAAATATCTAAAATTGATCAATCAATATATGATCAATTAGCATATATGTTTAGATTTTTATTATTATAATCTGAAATTACATTATTTAATATTAAGACCTTAATGTATGAATTATTATTTTAATTTTACATTTAAATATATATATATATATATACGTAATTTTATTTATATTTGTTTTACATATTATTATAACTATACTATGCAATTACAATTTTCTTGAATGTATTCTGAAATCCATCTCTTTTTGAGAGCAATATCTAAAGCGGAAAAAATACTTCCAACAAGAAACAATAAACAATCTAAGTTAAAAGATATATAATTAACGATATTAAATCAAATTAAATATCAATAAATCTCTTTAGCAAAAATATAATTTTTTATGCGTATTGTATGCTGATTGTATATTTTCTGCTATCTAGATTTTTGATGTTTACCTGCAATAAGATTTAGCACTTTGTATCTGCCAGTAAAATATATGATAAATTTATATAGACTAATATATATTACAATACAAATTATAGATATAAAAGTAATACTAAAAACCAACGATTTTATAGGTTAATTGTTTTGAAAATAGTCATAGAAATACGTCATAGAAATACGTTAATGCTTAGAGTCATGCCGCATAGAAAAACGTAAATAGTAAGCAAATTGGCTAATCACAGTCGAGTATTCTTGAAAACGTAAGGTAATCATTTGGCTAATTTTCTATGTGACATGCTGCTATAGCCTTTATGCCCGTATCAGACCACACATTGAAAATTGAAATTTGACCAATCAAGACAAAGAACTTTTCCATCTTTAAGCCGCAATCTTCAATGCGTAGTTTGATACCAGCTTTACTATAATCCATTATAATCGAGAATCGCAAGAGATATTTCTCGATAATCTCGAATTATATGATTGAGAATTTCACGTGTATCATGTGACAGGTGCACGTGTAAATTAAAGGTTATAGTTTTGAATCTATTTGATACAGTGCAAGAGTAACAAATGTTTATTGTAAAAAATATTTTTTATTATATAAAGATCCGCATGTCTCAGCAACGAATAATATGAACGATTTTAATCTTAAATATAACAATGAGCCAATTTATTACATTACAAGGTAAATACGTAGCTGTATAACCGATATAACGATTTTATTTCTAAATAAAATAAAATAGGATTTTAGATATTATATTTTTTATTAATTTCCTTACGCGAATTATTTTTAGTTGGTCAATGCGGAAATCAGATAGGATCAGCTTTCTGGCCCTTAGCTTTGCATGAATATGGCATCCAGACTACCACTGGTGGTGTAAATTTACTTACAAGACAACGAAATCATGTCAAGCATATCAATGATTTGTCTGATGCGTTTCCTAGTTTTTTTTATGTACCAGACAGTATAGATAACTTGAATTTTCAAAGTGTAGCTGACTTAAACAAGGCCAAAGTCAAAGCTAGAGTATATACATTTTTCCATTTAATTTGTTGAGATTAATATAATACAACCAGGTTAATAAAATAATTTTTGAAAGCAGGCTGTTCTAATTGATATGGAAGACAGTGTTGTATCTAGGTTTAAACAAGGCCCATTGCGTCAATTATTTGACCAAACATGCACTGTAACCAATTATCCAGGATCTGGAAACAATTGGTAATTTATAAACAATACCAAGTTTATTATTAGCATTTTGAATAACAGAAGTAGAGTATAATATATTGATTTGTAGGGCAATAGGATATCATGTTCATGGCAAAGAATATCATGATCGTTTAGAGGAAAGTATAAGACATGTATCAGAAAAATGTGATAGATTACATGGGTTCTTGTTAACACATTCATTAGGGGGTGGTACTGGATCTGGATTAGGTACAGCAACCTTAAAACTATTAAAAGATAATTACCCTCATGTGGAAAGGTACTTTAATGAATATAATCATTAATTAAATTAATTAAATCTTATAAACTGAAAATAAAAATGAAAATTGACATAGTTATAATATAAATATTTTAGGATTGTATCGTGTGTATATCCTGCAAATATGCAAGATACTGTAACTGCACCTTATAACACTTTGCTCGCAACTCAAGAACTTGTAGAACATGCCACATGTGTATTTCCTGTAGAAAATAAAGCTCTCTTAGATATATGCAATGCTCAAGTGAATAAACGAGAGAACACAACTCAAATGAATTATAATGCCTCGTGTAAACCATTTCAAGATATGAACAGTATTATTGTCAGTATGCTTTTACATCTAACCAGGTAATTGGAATTTTGTAAGTAACATTAAAATTAACATTGTAAAGAAAACAATTCATTTTAGTGGATCCAGATTTCCAGGAAGTTTAAATATGGATATGAATGAAGTGGCTACAAATCTAGTACCTTATCCAAAATTACATTATATATTTAGTAGCATCAGCCCTATAACTTTATCTGCTCCAAATATGTGCTCTATGCAAGAAATAAAGTATATTAGTTTTCTCTTCTTAAACTTTTATCTTAAATCAGACATATAAGAATACTGAAATATCATTATCAATATTTAAGATTGCAGGATGAATTGTTCACTAATGCGTGGTCGCGAAATAATCAATTGATTAAATTAGATCCTCTTCAGCCTACCTCTGTCATTCTTGCCGCTGCACATATTGCAAGAGGAAATACTACTTTAAGCGATATGAAACGAAACATTGAAAGGTATTTAATTTGTTTTTTTTCAATATACGTATTTGTAGAATCTAATAATTATTTTTTATTAATTATAATTACTCTTCATATATAGGTTTCAAAACAAGTCAAAGTTTACTTCGTGGAGTAGAGATTGTATGAAAATAGGATTATGTTCCATTCCACCAGCAGGACACTCTTCATCATTGCTGTGTCTTCTTAATTCATCAACCATGTCTTTACTATTTAAAGATATAATTCAAGAGTTTTCTAAATTGTATAAAAAAAAGGTATAAAGTGAAACTAAACTATATTTCTTCAGAAAATAGATATAACTATTTTTATTTTTTAAAAGCATTTTTCTGACTTGAATAAATGTATAAAAATATTTTTAAAACTCTTTAAAAATAGTATATTTGCACGATGGTGAAACAGTATAAAATTGCGTTTCAGGCACATGTTCATCATTATACACAAGTACATGGATTTGAAGAAACACATTTCATGGAAAGCAAAGAAAATATTCTCAATTTATACGAATGTTATACAGAAATACGCAATATGGAAGAAACAAATATTTCTAGATTACAAATAAGTTAAACAGTTTGTAAAAACACCTGCAGACAGAATAGAAATGTATCATATTGTTTTCATATGCTGCAGAAAGATTTCTTTGTATTTATTAATATTTATTAATCTTTCTAATATATATGTACAACATAATACTATTTTAATAAAAATTATAATTTTAAAGATAATGACAAAATTCTATTAGTACGGAATTGAACATCTATTGTAAGTTTTGTCAGTAAAGCTGTGTTAAATATTTCTGTCGCATCAGGAGTGTTGATTAAAAAAAGCTGTTTTCTTAAAGAAACATGTATCTTTGGGTATGTATTTGAATATTCTTAAGCTTACGTTATTGTATTCACAAATTTTGATGCATCCTTAAACTTAGCTGGCAGGTATTTGTGGCAAACCAAACTCATCCACTGGAACACCATCCTGTAAAATAGATAAATATATTTGTCTTACTAGTTTGTCTTACTAGTTTAAGGTGCTTTTTATATAACATAAATTGTATTTTATTTTAGTTTTTCCTATTTTTGTGAATAATATGTAATATATTACTTTTTTAATTATAAACAAATAGTTTTATTAAAATATAGACCTTGTTTTTGAGAGAACTTGCTCCAGGTTCTTTATCTGGAGCGCTAGGTGCTTTTATAGCATCATCTAAGAAGCTGGAATCTTCATCCAAAGCAAGATCATCGCCAAGAGCTTCTAGTTCAGCTGCGAGCTCATCATCATCAATTTCTGGCATTCCGTAACTACGACCCATTGCTTCTTGCACTTCGTCCGCTTGTTCTAACATATCTGCTAAATCATCCTGTAAATCCTATACAAGAAAACAGCAACATGTATAATATGGAGTCAAAAGTTTAGTTTAAAGACTTGTTGAGAATATTCTTAACTTACTTCAATTTGATCAATGTTAATATTTTTGAATTCCTTCTGCATTTGCTTGACACCATCTTTCATAGCAACTACAGTTGCTTGAGTATCCTTTAACGTTTGAGTGGCATAATTTGCTTGTTCCATGTTGAATGCCTGTTGGCGCAAATTGTCCACTTGGGCCTCATACATTTTCCGCTGTTTTAGTACACGCAGTGCTTTAGCCTTTACTGCATTCTTAGCTGGCCCATCTCTCATTTTAACCATTTGATCCTTGTATTTTTTCAACTCTGCATCTAATTTAGCTATTTTCTTTTCTGCAGAGTCCGCTCTACTATCAACCTTGATAAAATATTAAACTTACAATTTAAGATATATTACACTGTATGTAGCAAATTATGCAAATTTTTTTCCGATATAAACACGGAAAATGACATAATAATGAATTAAAAGAATGGAAAATACGAATCAATGTCAATTATTTTTCTGATAATAACAAACTATCATTCTTACCCCCGCAATGCAGTCTGTAATGCTTGGCGGTGGTTCTTTAGGTTTAGCACGTCCGAAAAGCCTATTCATTTTTGAGAATTAATGTTGACACTACACGGCAAGACAATTTTTTATAGATTTATTATCTGTCAAAATGTCAGACAACGTGTTTCTAAAAATATCTACGCAGCGCGCGCAGTGCACGCAACGTAAGCTATGATTCATCAGATGATGAGATGGAAAAGTCGAGTTCTTAGCAAATCGATTAGTAATACGACATACCGTCGCATGGAGCGCTAAAATCGCTAACAGTACGTCATTCAAGCACTTTTATATCTAGATACTCATACACATCGGATTATGAATATCAACGGTCAAAACGTTAACTCAGCGATAAAATTTAAATTTTGGAGTTTTCTTTCTTTATATCGGTAAGAAATCAATAATTATAGGATCAATTCATGGGTACTTCACTAACTTTTACCGTGCATTGTTTTATTGATCAAAGCATTTTATCATTTACAATAATTCTTTATTTTTTTTTTCATTTGTTACTGTACTTTCGTAACCGATGATGCGTACGAAAACTGAACTACTAAACAACAGGCGTAAAATGGCGTCATAGCGTAAAGTATGTTAAGATTTATATTATATATTAAAAATCGTTCTTAAAAGAGTCTCTTTTAATAAGTTTATTAAAATTATAGCATTTCGAAGAGTGGCGAAGACTTCGGCAAGATGTAACTGAGTTTAATATGCTGAAAGTCACTTTGTCTTACTAAATAGGTGAATATTATCTAAGATATATTTGAGTCCAAAAACTTTCTCACTCTGTATTTTCACTTCGAACTTTGCTGTATTTTAATAAATATATTATACTTATGCTAAAAATATAAATGTTAAAGAAAATAACAATTCAAGTATAAAATATTTTAATTGTGAGATTATATTTTATTATATATCTTATGGACAAAGTGATCAATGAAGTCATACATGATGCCCGAGATCTGTCGGGCAGAGTGATCAATATTTATATATATATATATACATTTATTTATATTTATTTTTATTTATATTGCCCGAGTGATAAATTAACAAATATTTATCACTCTGCTCGACTGGTTTCGGGCATTATGTATAATGCCCCACTTATCACTTTGTCCATAACATATATAAAACATATATATAACATTAAAAAAATTATATTGAAAAAACAATTTCAAGCTTTGTATGTGATTAGAATTTATAATTGTAAATTTTAAACTAATATCAAATTGAAATTTTGCAGATGAGAATAATGCCATCAAGAAATTCACGGATAAAGAAATTCCACAAGTAAAACGAAACAGGGAAGCATCGAACTGGAAAATACCAGACGGCAAAATCACGCGGACAATCCTTCGAGGTGTATTTGATGAGGTTGAGAGAATCCTTACAGAAACTCGATTCTGCGAGATGAAATGGAATGACAACTTCAGATGCGGCAGGTGGGAGTAGGTAAGTGAGTGTGCAGATCAGAGTTTTTCGATAACTATTATCAATCGACGCGAGATATCCGTGATAATACGGGGCGGCGAGACGCGTGTGTAAGTACTTGTCACTAGGACAAGGCGGTTCGCGGATCGAAGTGTCAGTATTCCCGGCAATCTCGATGTGAATTGTGGTCTCGCGGTTGGACACTCGCGTAGAACTGATCAACGCGCTTGCACGAACAATGATGTTCTTTTCTAGTCATATATATTCTTCATCATATTTTCTCGACTCTTAAGCGAATGACCGCAGTCGAAGTCTGCTTTTTATTTCTGAAATCAGGTTTGTGTTTGAAATACGTGAAACAGCGTACCTGTGCAATGCCAAAATGCTAATGGATACTCAAAAATTTTGTCGGTCATTGGTGGATTTAGATCTGGCAAGTTTGCTCGTGGCAGCTTGCCCATAAACATTCTCTTCGGCAATCACAATTGCGTATAGATTCACTGATAGAATTCCTGGAATGATTAAAAAGCGATTAAATAGTATGTCTAAATAGCTTTGAAATTAATAGTTGCATTGATGTCAACTATAACTCGGTTACAATTACTAAAATTTTAAATTATTTTTCCGTTTTTTTTTTAAATAATAATGTGTGATTAATAAATTATATTGGTGTTAAATAAATACGCTACTTACAAGAAATTTGTAAACCAAAAACAATTGAAAGAAATTGATTCGGTGAAATTGGTTCAAATTTTCGGAATAGAAAATTAAAAATTTATTTTTCTATTTTGATTTCCTTTTTATAAAAATTACAATAAATAAATGCATATTAAAAAAACTTTAAACAAGTTTAAATTTAATTAAAAATTTTTAACACTGTTTAAATATTTTTCAAAATAGATTCTTGTTAAATTTATTTATTTTTTGTCTAACGAATTAGTGAAAAATAAATATGTGCGATCTGTATTGTTTGTATTTTTATTATAAGAAAGGGCATTAGATATATAAATAATAATCGAGTTGAAGGTATATTTGAACAGTTTAAATATAAAACTTTTATAAAATGCATAATAATATATATATGAGTCAAACGCATTAATTCAAATATATTCAGAATAGTTAAAGTTAGTCTTAAAGTTTTGTCAATTAAGGAATATTTATTTAATTTTATTTTAGATCTTTTCTAAATAAGAATGCGTGAAAAATATCAATTTCTAGTTTGAAATATTTTATTTTATTTGCCTGTAAAATATCATATTTTACAAATATTTTTCTAATATTTCTTTTATTAACATTTTACGGGCAATATTAAAATAGAGTATCTTATAATAGAGATTAGCATTTTTCCTACATTTTTATTAAAAGTTAAGGTCAAAAAATGGATCGAATAAGTATTCAAAAATTAATAGCTGGCATTAATAAAATAAACATCTGTAAATTTGATTTATTAATAAAAATTTAGATAAATTTAGATAAATTCAGATAAATTTTGCATAAATTTTATATTTAAAGTAATCTCTTAACGATGCAAAATACTATGTATTCACTGCAGAAACAATTAATATCTCACAAATAACAGACATTAAATAAATGATTAATTACTTACCTTAAAGTCCGCTAAAGACCAATGCCTTCCGGATTTCTTCCTCTTCTGTGATCCATCGACGTCTTCATGGCACTTATGAAACACAATCAATTATGATTGCGTGAAATTTTATACAACATTGTTTTCTCGATGCGAACATCATGGCAAAGAAAACACTTGAGAGAAGCGCAAAATCACACGGAGTTATGATATAGTCGACATTCATGTCCGCAGCAAGCATGCGGCAAAGGGAAATAAAAAAATTGCGTGGTATTAATTTTGCACCCGTCGTGATTATGCTAAAGCCAAAGTATTTTCGTCAATTTCTATGCTCACCGCATATCACAAAATAAATATATCTACATCTCAAAATGTTTAGTGTTTATTTCATATTATAGCAAGCGAATAAAAATTTATTAGTTACAATTAAAGGTATATATTTGCGTGCAATAAAGTATCTGAGTCGCTAATTGCGGGAGTAAATTAATTATGCGAACAGTGAATCTAATTATTTGTGGGAAATGTGGGAAATCTTATAATATTTTTCGTGATCGCAATACGAAAGGTAATAATACGATTTCCGCTGCCATTCTATTCGGCTTTAGTGTAGGCCATAATAGGCGAATAATAGGTGATAGCGCACAAACTGCGTCTTAGATTGCAAAATTCGCAGACCAACGTTGCAAGCTACTATCGAAGTACTTTAATGCGTAACTCGGTGGTTGTTTTTATTTTTTGTACGCAATGTACGCGCGTTGTTGTCCGCGCGTTATCACCTTGTTACCGTTCGCACGACGATATTTGAGCAGTAAATTGCTTCATATTATTATTATATCTCAACTTACGATTGCAACGAATATTATAAGATTTTTTTATAAATTATTTCCGATTTTAACTACGCAATTTTTTATTTTTCTTTGCTACTTACAAATGCTGTGAGTGTCGATCTTAGCTCCGTGCAATTTCGTACGTTTTTTGAGCTTTCTTTTGTAATGATGTGATAAAGTTTACACCGGGAAAACAGTCGTATAAATTATTGCACAATCATAACTCAATGTGTTTTATAAGTGCTACGAAAGAGGCTATCGATAGATCGCAGAGAAGAGGAGAAAGTTTGGGAGACATCGAGTTTCGGCAGATTTTAAGGTAAGTAATTTATCGTTTATTTCTTATTTATTATACATAATATATTAATTGTTTCTGCAATAGTCACGTGGCATTTTGTATCGTTATGTAATATACTCTTGTAGTGAGTACAGATAGATATGACGACTTGATATTGTAAAAAGTATGCGATAAATAGATACTTAAAAAATTTTATAGCATTTAATATATATATCTATTGATTTAGCTGACTCTAGCTACAATTTTTAATATTAAGTTATTTAAGTTATATTAAACACTTTCTTTTCTTCTCAGTCTTTTTTGTTCGTTTTTCTCTCATATATTCTCTTATTTTCTCTTAATCTTTTATTCTTTTTCATTGTCTTGTTTCTCTTGTCTCATTTGCAGTTTCTGATTTATTTTAATTGACCATAAATTATTAATAATAAAAATGTCGATATTGACATCTGCGTAAAATTAAGCAGACAAAAGTTGTTTCTTTTTTGTTTCTAATGCATACTATTTTTACTCCAATTTTCTTTACTGTCCGAGATATCTGAATTAGACGCTCGTTTTAATTTGAATTGTTCAAATACAAAATGTTTGAATCTTTTGTCTGAGCTCTAGTTGACTATATTACTATGTACGTTAGACGTGAGTGCATTGCATGAATGAGTTGCAGAAATCGTAAAACGGCTGCAATACGGCGGCGAGTGAGTTAAATCAGGGATTCGTAGTGAGGAGCTTCTCGCGATGAAAAAGATATTTATCAAATGGTGACAGTGATGTGTTATACGTGACGTCAGAAGGATAATGTTTCGCTATTTTCGTTGCGGATTAACTCAAAGCCCGACTCAATTCTAACCGCGTCGCTTTCTCGATTGCACACTCATGGAATCCCGCAGGATCTTCATGCTGACGATTTTATGGTTAATGTATGGGGTAGAAGGTAAAGTGACGTGCCGCGAAGTGCAATTGCATCGCGATTGTGAAACGTTGTGCAGTACGAGCCGCGATGGCATTGTGTCTTGTGAGCTGAGGGTGGCTGTTCTT